CGCTTCTCTCACCCAGCTCTCCAATGGATTAATAGCGGTATTCAGGTCAACTTCGTCGGTACAAAGCATATCCCTACTAAAAAGATTATTGAAGTTAGACGCATGTTGAAGAATGTTCTTCCCTCTTCCCGCTTCAAATCCGCCCTTTCTATGAATGAACCACCTCCAGTAGTCATCCCTAATCACAACCTCCTTCCCCACCACTCAGACTTCATTACCACCTCCGTATCCCAACTTTTGGCATCAGGAGTCATTGAAATTTCACCTTCCCCAATTGTTATCAATCATGTATTCGCAATTGAAAGTTTCTCTAAAAATCGCTTTATTTTAGATGTTAGATTTGTTAACCTGTTTCTCTCATTTCCCCCCTTTCACTACGAAACCATCTTTGATGTTATCGCCCCCCTCGCCGGCTCACCCGCACAGGATTTCCTTTCCTCCTTCGACATCAAGAATGACTACTATCACATTCCCATCTTTCCTTCTCATCGTCCTTTTCTCGTTTTCAATTGGAATGGCATTTCTTACCAATTCACTACACTTTGCTTTGGCATCTCCACTGCTTGTTGGATCTTCACCACTGTAATGTAAGAAATGATGGCCGAACTGAGAGCAAGAAAGGTTCTCATCTCCTCCTACATCGATGACTCCGCTATCGCCAATTTCAATCTTCCTCTCATTATTTGGCAATCATTCAATTATGTCGCCCTCCTCCATAACCTAGGGTTTTTTCTCAGCATCAATAAATGGCATTTTCTTCCCTGTCAGCAAATAAAATTTCTGGGCTTTATTCTAAACGCTCATGATAAAAGAATAAAGGTTCCCATCGACAAAACTAAAAGAATCCTTCATCTCATCTCATCCCTTGATTCCTCAACCCCTTCCAGCAGAACTTTAGCCAAGGTTGCTGGAAAACTTGCATCTCTCTCGCGCCTTCTCTCCGGCCCCCCTCTTCCTCTCCTCGCTATACGACTCCATATCCCCTTCTAATTGGGACTCTCCTTTACAAATCTCCAATGCACTCATCAATGATCTGAAGTGGTGGACCATTTTCCTTCCTCTCCTCCCCGGCAGACTATGGACTTCAAGAACACCCACCCTCTCAATCTTTACAGATGCATCCGCCTCTCAAATCGCAGGACTAATTGAACCAACTGGCAAAAACTCCATCACCTTCAATGAATGCCTTCCCCAAGAGCTCATGTGATCCTCATCAACTCATCGAGAACTCTTCGCCATCCTCCGAACCTTCTCCTTCATCTAATCCAAATATCCTCACATCCTCTCATCCTCTTCCATTAGAGTTTATTCCGATAGCCAAGCTGCAGTCGCCCTCTTATCCAATCTCTCTTCCTCCGATCCCGTCTTCAACCCTTGGCTCAGGCAATTAATGGTCATTCTTCTTATAGCCGATGCCCAACTTCACCCAATTTGGATTCCAAGAAACCTCAATCAATTGGCCGATGCCATCTCCAAAACACAAGACAATTCTGACTGGGGTCTCGCAGACCACGAGTGCATTAACATCTTCAAGGCTCTAGGCGCACCTGCCATTGACCTATTCGCATCTGACTTTCACCACGTCTCAACTACTTTCATCTCAAGAACCTGGTCTCACCAAACTCTCCTTATTGACGCACTCTCTATTGACTGGAACTCTCTCCCTTCCTCACCTTACAGATGGATCTTTCCCCCGACAACAATCATGCACGACGTCATCTCCTTGGCCCAAGCAAGCCCTGCCTCATATCTTCTTATCCACCCATCTTCGCAGAGGACAACCTGGTACCCTCGACTAGCCCAACTCAACATCTCCGCCTCCTTYACAATTCCCCAATCCCCTCGATCGTGCATTCGCAGTCCCAGGGTACACCATTCTATTCCGAACCCTGCTAAATTTGGACTTACCGCCTCCTTTTTCACCRCCTAGTCATCTCCATGCCCCCCGGACCCTTTCAGCTGCTCCTCATTGGTCATGTCTCCCGCCTGACGCTTCCAACCTCGCCGCATTCCATAACCATATTGCATAAAGGTCCCTATACTGCTCCACGTCCCCTGCCTCATCATCTCTCCTAAACTCCAATCCTCCTCAATCCCTGCCTGAACACCCCCCAACCGAAAGTTGTGACCACTCTCACCTTCATACGCCCCGGCCTCTCCAAACCACTTCTCCATCCGCTTATTGAAGCCCACGCCCCCCAAAGCTGCTTCCCCCCTCCCGGATCTAAACAAATACCCCTTCCGAATATCCACCCCCAAACCATCATACACCGTAATCACTTCAGGTAACATTCCAAGGAACGTGTTCTCACAATGTCTAGGCTCTTTCAGCCTAATCAAAAAGCGCCCCCCCTGACGATCAGTCTTGGTATATCTAGGTCTCACCACACAATTACCAATATCTATCTCCTTATACTGCAGTCGTAGCCCCTCTCCGCATCTCTGCCAACTCTCCCAAAGATAGAGGAACATCGCCGCATCACGATATGTCTCCGCTTCGCGCATCCGCTTCAGAGTCTTGATCTTGTTGCTCATATAACTTAAAAACTATTTTTAGTTTCTCCCAAGTCAATGGTCGCGCAGATTCCTCAGTTAACCCCCTGGACAATTGATACTCCCGATAAGCCCTTCGGAACACCTTCACTCGGCCACTCTGGCATGGATCATCCTCCCTGCCAAGCAATCGGTAACTACTACTCAAGCAATTTACAACAGCATCCACCGTGGCAGGAGACACCATGGGCTCACCTTCGGCATCGGCAGATCGGCATCGACTCTCAATTTCAACCAACCACTGGCCACCCAAGAAGGAAAGAATGTCCAAATCACTACATTCCATGAAGCCGCGACCCACGTCATTCCGTTCAAGCCACTCATTAAGACCAAGGAGAAGCTTCTTCATGYCATTGCGCCATCGYCGTCCAGGACCAAACTCTTCGATCAAGGCACTACTCCACTCCAGCCCKGCCTCGTACCCTCCTGCTATCTCTGGAGTCGCTCGCTTCTGACGCCAGCTTCCATCACTCATTCGCTCGYTYCACCATTCCCTGCAAGATTCCGTTGTCACTTGCGGGACGTTGGGGGGATTTGGGTGGTCTAGGAGGTGTGTGGGCMTGCGGCCCCTTCTACATGACTCTCATCCCAGTGATGTGGCATCATCGGCGGCTTGACCTTTTCCTATTTTATCTGGATTTGTCCTGCACAGGAGTTGTCCTATGCCCGCCTTTCTGGTTGGGTGCAGTTTGGTCGTTTCGGAGAGGCCAGTACTTCAACCCTCGGCCTTAGTAGACCCAACTGTCTTTTCGTTGGTTCCCCTCTTTGATCACGGACTCCGGGCAGTTCTTTTTCTACATCTTCGGTTTTCTCAGTTTCTCAGTTTGTTTTTTTTTTTTCTTTCTTTTGGACCTTCTAGATCTACGGTAGGATTGTGTTCTCTCCAGGATCTGCTTTGGGACAGCGAGCTGAGCGGGACTCACCCTGGATGCAGTAGGGCCTCGCTAGGCCGACCGCTGCCATGAGGACCGGTCGCTGCAGGTTGCAAGGATTCGCGAGGTGTGCTCTCCGCAGCTCGTCCGCCAGCCACTGCGCTCATTGCGTACGTAAACCTGTCACATCGCACACAGCAGTCAGCCACTTGTTGGGAAGAGAGCTCTTTTTCCCTCGCCGATTTTGGCGAAGCGGTCCCGCCCACCGTCAAGATTCCCGCGGTGTGTGGGCCTGCGGCCCCTTCTACATGACTCTCATCCCAAGGCCCACACACCCCCTTCTACATGACTCTCATCCCAGTGATGTGGCATCATCGGCGGCTTGACCTTTTCCTATTTTATCTGGATTTGTCCTGCACATGACTGTCACATTTTGCTTTTCTTTGTCCTGCGGCCAGGTCCCACTAGCAAAGAGGATTCGATTGAATGCCTTAATCTGGACGTTTGTTTGAGGACAGATGCAGAAAACCTTGAGTGATCTGCTTTTCTGCACCTCCACGAAGAACCTATCCAGATTCAGGTTCTTAATTGGATCCACTTTGCTAGTGGGACGTAGCCCCTGGAAACCGCCCCTGAGAGTCCAACCACCCACCGTACGCCAGTCGCTGTCCGACCTGAAGTCGAGCCGACGCATAGAACGCCCGCTGAAGAGAGCTGTATTTGGGGCAACTCTCCGTCCAGGTGCAACTCTAATGGCGGAAGAATGAATCTTCCTCTAGAACATGCCAACGTAGGAGAGATACAGTGATACACCACCATATTTTTTGTCTTTTGTGCATGCGTTGAGTAGTCGAGCGAGGCCCTACGTGTGCATGTGCATGTGCATGTGCACGTGTGTGTGCGTGTGCGTGTGCGTGTGCGTGCTCGTGTGCGTGTGCGTGCTCGTGTGCGTGCTCGTGTTGTGGTTCCGCTAGCAGTGCTTGAGTCAGGTCCAGGTCCAGGTCCCATTCCAGGTTCAGTTCCCATTCCAGGTCCAGTTCCCAGTCCCGGACCAGCTGCAGTTCCAGTTCACGTATTCAGTGAACACTCTGCGGCAATCAGTGGCCAGTCCACTTGTCGATCAGCTATAAAGCTGCTCGCTCATCAGTGATTGTTGCCCAGAGGCACTTGGACGTGCTCTAGCGATCATTAGCTAGAGTATGCATTGTTATGTTGGCCTTATTATCAGATTAGCGGCGTCGCCAACTGACCGGCTGGAGAAGTCGACTGTGTCGTGCACAAATTATAACTTTCCCTTGTTTGCAGGTTGGTGCGGTAGTTTGACTGTCGGGCTGGTGCCGGAAGTGACCCGCTCCATTACGAGCCTTGACGTTGAATGTGTCTCCAGCGACCCATATGCCGGCTACGTAGTTCGAGCTGCCACCACCATTCGCCGATGCGTTCATGCCGTTTGCACTTCAACCCTGCCTGCTAGACCAGTCCTTAGACTCTTCGAGGTAATCGATTAACTACTCACTTACTTGGCTGCATGGGTGCATGTGCTCAACGTACAGAAGTTTACCTCACTCTGAGCGAAGGAAGCGGCCAGCAACGGGACAGCGGATACTGCGCGCACAGCTCGAGAGCGGAAGAGGGACTGATGATGGCTTCTATCACCCGAAGAACGTCGTCGCCGGTCGCATCTACAAGCTGCCACTTGATTCATCTCGCCGTGGTGGCTATGGCAGCCTGCTGCATGCTGACGTCGGCGGAAGAATTCGTCGCCTCTGCTCGTGTGCTCGTTGACGCTGGGACGATCGAAGCTGGAGTATGGGGTTCCCCATTGGAGACCAGCACAACTGGCTCCGTTGCCAGCGGCGGTCGTTCGAATCCCCACACTGCATCCTCTTCCGCAGGGGCTGCTGGCGATGGCGAAGGGGCGAATCTCGAAGCAACCGAGGCACGTGGAGATTCGGAAGGAGGTTCGGCGCCTGGGACCACCACCCGCTCTGCTGCCTCTGAGTCCCACTGGGAAGAAGGAGGTGAACGTGGCACAGCCACAGCCGCAGGACCTTTCACTCGAAACTCGGGTGCGGGCGTAGCGGCGAGCAAGGACACCAGGATTATTAACTTAGCAGCAACGGCAAAGAGTCTGACGGCAACTGGCGCTGCGCGCCGAGCAGGAGCTTGCACGGGCTCGCACTCGGCCGTGCGTGCTCGTTCTGCTTTGGGACTGCTAACCTCCTCCACGACAACGGCGGAAAGAAGTTCCGATAGGCGTTCTGCACAGGCAGCCAGCAGAGGTGGATCTAGTTCTACTGATTGGGGTGTTAATGAGCCCTTTATGGGCGGCGATCAGGCAGCCGGAGATACCGAGGAGGGCACGAGTGTGGGCTCAACAGTCGCTCGAGGAACAGGAACTCTGCATCCGTCGGGCAACGATGTCGACGAAGCAATGGGTGCCGCCAACGGCGGCTATGGCGATGCCGGTGAAGCGACGACAGGAAGTAAGCGGAGTCGCACCCCTGCAGTGGCTATGGCGTCGCCCGCTCTTTCTGGAGGTTCCAGCTTCGCTCGCGATGACGATTTTTCCACCATGATGGCCGAAAATGGACGTCCAAGCGCCGAACCAGTCACAACAACTACCCCGTCAAACCCCTCCAGGTCGACGGTAGGAGGTAAGGGGGCATTGCCGGGACCACCACCGGGCGACGACATCGTGCCTCAACGCGCGCCCACGCTGAGCACGGCTCAGCAAACAGGGAAAGATGGGGATGCCCCGACTGGAGGGCTTGTGACAGAGAAAGCTCCCCAGGGGGAATTGGACGGCCACGTCAGCGAGATTGTGCGTGGCACCACCTCCCCCCCTCAGGCTGGGAATCATCAACGGGTCGTCGTCGCAATGCCAAAGCCGCGTGATGAGCTATCTGCTCGCCCCCCGCAAGTTGGAAGTCCGGTGCCCGAATCCGAACCAAATAACCTTGCGACGGACACTCTAGCGCATCAGCGGCGGAGTATGCCTGTGCCGCCGCCGAGTGTTTCCGCAATTATACCCCCTGCACTCCACGTGTCGGGATCCCTGCCGTCTGTTTCGACTGCGGCCCCGCCGTCGTCTCCGGGGCCGACTCCCCCCAGGTTAAATGTCACAAGAAGTGGACGAAATGTCACGCTCTTTCGCAATTCGACAGCACCGAGTATCAGCGCTCCTGCCCCCGCTCCCCCTCCCCCGTCCAGTCCCTCTGTATATCCCTTCATTTCCGCTGCCTCTCGATCATCTCCTGAATCGCGAGCTCCGGATGGAGGAGGTGACAGTGACGCTGCCTTCAGTGCAGCGATGGCCAAGACCGACACATCCGGCGGATTCTCTCTGAGTTTCAGTGGGAGCATCTGCCGTTCGATCGTGCTCCTCTCGAGCGTACTGATCGCCCGGATTGGACTCGTCGTTGCTGGCGGTTTGTCCGCTTGATTTGTGTGCACTTTGGCCGCAACGGAGCTCTGTGTTTTTTTTATCAGTCGTCACAAAGGGATGGGCGGCTTGTCAGACGCGTGGACTTGTCATCATCGAGCTTGAAGGAGGGCGCCGGCATGTCGGACGGACACTCACGCGGAGGGAGTCAGATAGAAATATAAGGGATCTCTCTCTCTCTCTCTCTCTCTCTCTCTCTCTCTCTCTCTCTC